CCTCTCCAATCTGGGAAGAGTACCGGATGATGTGAAGGAGTACAACAAGCCTACCTCAGATGCACAAAAAAGACAACCCCTGAGGTGCATGTTGTGCAACTGTATCGGCCACCAAGCTCATGAATGTCGCCGCCCAGCAAAGGAAGGGACGAAGAGCAACATATGCGGGAAAAGTGGTTATAACAGCCAGAACTGTTGGCACGTGAAGGCACAGAAGAGGCAGAGTTCAGCATGCGTTCATGAGGCTGCAGCCATCTGCGTTCATGAGTTCATGCGTTCATGAGGCATGAGGCCGCAGCCATCTGGTAAAGAGGTTCCGGAGGTGAGAATAAACATCAATACATCATATTTCAGTGAAGAAATCAAAGCATTATGTATGAATAATTCTCTCGATGATGTTATTTTAGGCAACCTTCCTGGCGTCAGAGAACCGCTCGAGCCAGATCCCAATTGGAAACGCGCTGTGGTCGACTGGAAGCGACGACACATCGGCAAACTAACTTCCGTGTAGAAGAGATGCCGCACAACGTTTCCGCCACCATCAAGCCGCAAGAAGGCAAGATAACTCTATTATGTGACCAGCCATAAAGATTGGCGATGTAAGTAAAGAGAAGTTCACAGAACAACAGCAGAACGACAAGACGCTGAAGTCACTGTTCGCTAAAGTGGGCAGAAACTTCAAGTCGCAAAAAGGACACTCTTATTCATTTTTTGAAAAAGGTGGACTTTTGTACCGCAAGTATGAACTTGCTACAGGCAGGACATTCAACCAGTTCGTTGTGCCAACGTCTTTCAGAAGATCAATACTGGAAGTTGCACACGAAGGTCTTATGGCCGCACATCAAGGCATACGGCGAACAACAGATCGCGTCTTGACAGATTTTTACTGGCCAGATCTGCATGGGGACGTCAAAAGATTTGTGAAATCCTGCGATCTGTGCCAGAAGACAACACCAAAAGGTAAAGTTGGTGTTGCGCCTTTGGAAAATACGCCTCATACGTATGCCTTTTGAGCGTGTGGCAGTCGATCTCACCGGTCCGTTATCATCGAAATCAGAACGGGCAAACCGATATGTGCTCTCGCTCATAGACTTTGCCACTCGATATGCAGATGCAATAGCACTCCCTGCAATCGATGCAGTGCACGTGGCAGAAGCACTAATAGAGATTTTTTCTTGTGTTGGTCTACCTGAAAGAGATTGTCACAGACCAAGGGACGAGCTTTACATCAGAGCTAATGAAAGAGGTTGGTCGCCTATTAGCTATCAAGCTTCTGCGGACGACACCATACCATGCAGTGGTGAATGAACTAGTTGAAAGGTTCAACGGAACCCTAAAGGCAATGTTGAAAAGGATGTGCCAGGAAAAACCTCGTTCCTGAAACAGATACCTTGCACCCCTACTCTTCGCCTACAGAGAGGTACCGCAAGCGAGTCTGGGCTTCTCACCTTTCCAGTTGATTTATGGGCGGCACGTCTGAGGTCTACTGACCGTCCTGAAAGAACTATGGACCAATGAAAACGTCGATGACGAAATTCGCACCACGTATACATACCTCGTTGATCTGAGGAATCGTCTTGAAGATTCGTGCGAAGCTTGACCATGAGGAACTGGACAAGGCGCGAGCAAAACAGAAACTTTACTACGACTGAAAGAGCCGTCTGCGCAAGTTAAATGTGGGTGATAAAGTCTTAATCTTGCTGCCTACTGTCACAAACAAATTGTTAATGCAATGGAAAGGTCTATTCGAAGTCATCGAGTGCAAAAATGATGTCGACTATGTATTAAACTTAAGCAGGAAGATTGAAATATTCCACATAAACATGCTGAAGAAATATGAGGAACGCGAGCCCATTCTCCCGCAGCAGGTGTCAGTCGTCACTGAGATTAATCAAGATTCTTCGAATCTAGACGAGGAGTCATCCAGCGACAATGTTTTGCACGAGACTTCATCTCCCAGCCTTGGCAACAAGCGACCAGAAACGAAGAAGGTGCTTCAGTCATTTTTGGGGTTATGTGGGTACTACAGAAAGTTTATACCCAACTACAGTTGAAATTACGAAGCCTTTAATGGATCTAACGAGAAAAGGACAAAACACAAACATCGCATGGGGACCGGATCAAGAACAAGGTTTCACTATATTGAAGAGTAAGCTTGGTGGAGCTCCCATCCTACAAGCGCCTAACATGAAAAAAGAATTTGTACTACACACCGATGCCTCAAACGTTAGTCTTGGTGCTGTACTGCTACAGCAAGGCAATGATACCTTGTTACACCCTGTTGCCTACGTTAGCCGCTACCTTTTGCCAAGAGAAACACAGTACTCCACCATTGAAAGGGAATGTTTGGCACTTGTATGGGCAGTACAGAAATTCCACCTTCTATCTGTACGGCAAGCCGTTCATCATACAATCGGACCATCAATCTTTGCAGTACCTAAACTCCGCCCAACATCTAAATAATAGAGTATTACACTGGAGTTTACTCTTGCAAGAGTACACTTCTACCATTGACTACATCAAGGGCTGTGATAATGTTGGCACCAATTATTTAAACCGTGTGTAAGGGTGCTGGACATCTTGTTGTGTAATACACAGACGTTTTCGACGTATCGGGCGACGTGACATTGTGTACACATCCAACTGGACATTTTTCTTTCGTGAACTCTTCATGTCCACTGACTTTCATACCACACCCCTGTGACATTTGCTCTTTACTTCTACCCATAAGAAAAGTTGTTAACAACTTTCTTAAAACCCGGGGTATTTTGATAATATGGGCAGAAGACTGAAGACAACAAAGAAGAGCACATGAGATCGGGAAGCGCGTGACAGCGTTCGAGGCAGCGAAGTGGGCAAGGACAGACGGTTCTTGGCTGGACGTCCGGTCCGGGGAACTAGGAGACGTCCTCTAGGCGCTGTACTGTCCTGAACTCCTGTCCTGACAGCTGGAAAACCGGTGAATGAGGCCTGGATTCCGGCTGGGTGACTGGCCCAGGGACCAGGCGAGGTTCCGCTGTTCCGGCTGCCGTCCCGAGTGGTTACGAGTTCCCGTTTGCTGTGGGCCACTGGTCCTGCTGCCGTTCCGGGTGGCTGGCATGACCCAGGTGTGCTACTGGGACGAACGCGGCGGGTGTGAGCTGTTGCTCTAGTGCGAGCTTCCGAGCGACCACTACTCTCCTGCTGCAACTGCAGCAGAAGGCCGTGAAATGGCGTGGGCCAACTCATGTTGAAGGACGTCAATGGGACAGACGTCACCTCACACCGAGCGATCGGAGTCCAAGCCCAAGCAAAAAACGGCGGGAGACTTCTGATTTAGAGAGAGATTTCGGATAGAACTGCTTGTGACAGACTGTTTAGAGATGCTTCAATAATAGTTGCTTTTTCCGTGTAAATATATTGTGTGTGTGTGTGTGTGTGTGCACTCGTGGCTCGATTGGTTTTTGGCTAGCGGTCCTGGGCCTAAACCTGACACTACGTCACATACACAAAATAAGACGGCGATAGCCAGTGCCATAACCAAGCGGGTGGGGAGGGGGGGTGCACATAGAGAACGTGCTCCCCTCCCGAAATTTTTTTTTGCCATAGCATATATATAGCTCAATATTACCATTTGCATGCCCCCTCCCCCTTTCAGATCAAGGTGCACGCCCCTCCAAAAAAAATTATCTGCCCTCCTGGTGATGACGAAGACCTGTCGATATTGTTCTTGTAATTGCTATAGCAGTAAACACAAAATGGCTTTCGCCTTCTAGTCATCTTAGGGGTATGCTTGAGGTACCCTGTGAGGTTTTTTTTTTATGCACAGCTTTATGGAGGACACTACAGGGGGATTTGGGAGTATAGACAGAGTACCTTAGCCATATAGACCATTGCTACAAATGGAAAACGAAGTTTGTTAAGTAGTGTAGTTTCAGCACAGAGAAATGGAAGAGGTTGGCTTTATCAGACTAGCTAAATGACGTCATGTTAAGCCTAACAGTATAATCAGTTGTGGAAAAAAAGAACCTTTTTATATCCTTCGAGACGTCTAAGAGAAATGCAGTTGCGACTGTGTGTGTTTCTAGCAATGTACATCACAGCAGCGTTTGTCTACCATATATACTGATAACCACATAGGTGTATAGAATGTTTTCATGAAGTACAATTTTACTCAATCAGTACTCTGTTTATTTGCTACAAAAATAATCACTGAGCAAGTTTTTTCAGAATGGCCAACATGATGCCATTATTTTTGCATCATCAACTAAAATAAGGAGTGCTCTTAAAATGACTGGCTTCAATAAAGTTTTTACTACAATAAAGTTTTTACTACAATAAAGTTTTTACTACAATAAAGTTTTTACTCACTCACTCATGAGATTTGTAATGAATAGAAGTATTTCTAGCTCTTCACAGAAGACAAGAGGATCAAAATGACTATTCATGCCCTTGAATGTTGCTTGCTTCTCTTTCAGGATGTGAAGTTAGCTGCTCCAGATTGCTCCAAAATGGGAAATTTCGCTGCTCCAAACTGCTCCAAAATGAAAATTTTGCTGCTCCAATGTGCTCCAAAATAGAAACTTTTACTGCTTCGAAGTGCTCCAAAGTGGAAATTTTGCTGCTCTAAAAATTGCTTCAAATCGGAAGACCTCAGTGGCATCACTGTAATTTCAACAAAGCATGACTGCAAACTTCACCTATGTTTTCAGTGTATAGAAAGAAGTCTGATGCAGTTGTTCAGTGGTCATATGCTGAAATGTGCTTCCACCGAGCGGCCATAGGAAAGTAAATGCAAATTCAAAAGGTGGAATTTGCAACTACGCTGTGTTTGAGAACTAAGAAATTGCCCTTGTATTTTTCTTTTCATATATAGCAGCGTATCTAACCGTGCTTAATTTTCTTTAACTGAACATCAAATTTTAATGAATAATATGGCTACTTCTTCCAGTCTGGATCATTCAAAGCATGTGGTTCTTTCCCAATCTAGCTAAGGAAGTATTTTAAAATATCTTTTTCAGGGCAAGAGTATTGACATTAAGGTGGAGCCGAGTAGCCCTACAGCTGCATCACCTCCAGTAAGTGAAGAACATTTTTTTTTTTTTCATTTGATATTTCTTATTCTTAGGCAATGGCATGGTGAACTTACTTTCTTTTACATCAGAAATGTTCAAATCATGTTTACAGAGCCTAGCTTGAGTAAACTTGATATTCACAGGGTCTCTTAGAAAATACACTAAGACGGCTCTAACGCAAAAACCCTCTTTTTTGATGCGGTTATCCCAGAGATCGGAGGCACCTCACCGGGTTGTTCGGTGCCTCAGTGATCGATCGGCACACCTTTGACCAAGCTCGGGTGTCATTTGGTGACATTGTCATGTAACATCACGAGATGTGACATTTTAGTGACATCAGGATCACAAAAACTTTGGTCATCTGAGACGTCATAGTCACCTAATAACATCTCAGAGGCAACATTTATGACTGTTCAGTTTCATGATTGAAAAAGTTATCAGCGTGAAGCGTGGCACCTTTCAAATGCAAAGTTTTAAATGGATGCTATTATGTGATACTGCATGCATATACATTGCAATGGTTGCCGCCAGGGGGGACAGCATGTAGGAGGAAACAAAGTGAAAAAACTTGCAGAGTCTTTTTTGAATTCAGGGAAGACTTCTTTCTTGTCTCTAGTCAGCATAATCTTGCTGACACTGCATGCAGTTCTCTTGAATTTCTTAGGTTTAGAAAGAAACAAGACTGATCTTTTTAGTAGGCAAAGCTGAAGATGATAAGCCTGTACAATGCACTCTATTCATAGATTGTAATTATAAACCGAAGTTTTTTTACAGTTGTTTTTTAACAGTAGTTCAGACTGACAGTAGTTCCACGTTTCTGATTCAGAATGTGGACGCCTTGAAAGACCAGATTGTTTCTCCGACTTTTATTTTCTGAGTCAACGCTCTTGTCATGCAACTGTATAACTTTTTTATTACTGTCCTAATGGTGCTTCCTTGCTCATTTAATTGTTCTTTGTGCTCTCATTAGACTGTCTGTCTCCCATTGTTTGCTGCTAATTTCTGCCATCATTTCTTCATACTTTGCCCATCTGGTGTCAGTGGTCACTAACTTACTCAAAATTGGAGCGCAACAATTTTGTAAGGTTTTGAGCTGTTCGAGCCCTTGGGTATTCAGTGGCCCAGGATTAAACTGAACATCGCTAGAAAGTATTAATAACAATTCAGGGTGGTGCAGAACCTTATGCGCAAAAAAATGAAAAATGCACATCACTTGTGGTACATAGAGCCAGCAATTCACACAATAATCTACGACTAATAATTGGGTAATTTTCACTAACCTGCAGCAACAGAATTATTAACTGCATGTTGGTGAGTCGCCGGGTTAAGTAAGGTTGATCCTCATTGCTTATCTGAGCCTAATGATAATCCTTTTAAAATACCTGAGTACTCTGGCAAGATGAACTTGTTTGCCAACTCTTTCTTTCTCAGAACTATTTTGCAGTGGAACCAGCTGTGAAGGGCAAGTGCACTATTCGAATAAAGATTGCTCTATTTCACGTCTGTAACCTCCATGCTGTTATGCCTTCCACAAATGGGGTGGTAATTCTTAAATAAGTGAAATAAAAAAGGAGACTGCCTTGAAATCTCTCACCTTGCTCCTGTCATTCCCTTCTCTTTGCGCTTTGCATTCACTCTCTTTCGTCGATGTTCGGTCTGCCAGGTTTTCAACGCTGCTCTGTGCAGGAACGAGTACCTAAGAGCTGTGCTCTAAATCTTCTTTAATATGGGCAATCTTGTGCCTGGAAAACTAGATGTAAACTCTAATAAGAGTCCACTAGAGTGTTAGATGCATAAAGTGTTTTTTTTTATCAAAGCATGTCGTCTTCTTCTATCAAGCCTCGCTGGTCAACTCGCTTCCTTGTGCCCATGCACAAGAGGCATCTTTTGCGCTGTCACTAGAAGTGCAAGCAGGCTCAAGGCATTGCAGACGCTAATAAAGCGGCTGATTGTACTTTCATTTGTCCTTGTTTGTTCTCTTGGGTACACTGACGACCGCAATGCTGCTCAGTGCAGGAACAGGTGCCTAAAAGCTGTGCCGTGAGACAGCGCTTCCATGACTCTCGCTTTGCCTTTGCAAAAGTGTGAAAATGAGTTGACAAAAAAAAAAAAAGTGCCAGATCTGTGTGGAAAGCACAGCACAGTCACAGCGAAAGCTGAAGAGCGGCCTTTCAGAGCCTATTCTAAACGCTCTTTGGGTAGCTGCTACAAGCACGCTTGCTGGGTGCCCATTATGCCAATAATAATCATAATTTCTGGGTTGGTTGTTGGTTCCTCAACAACTTGGCGCAACCCACCTAGGGGGATAGGCCATGAATGGGACAGTTTCTTGCTTTTTAAATTAATTCACTTCTTGAAAGGAAGGGTTGAATTCACTGGGTAGTAGGCATTCGCTATGCTATCCTTCGTCATTCTTCGAAGAAGCATGGTATCCGCTAAACACATACGCCTCTCAATCTTGCGTAGCATACGTGATCGCTTACGCGCTGCTTGAAACAGAGTCTACTTCCAGTTTTTGCGACTCCATTTGTCAACTCCTTGAGTTGCAAGAGTCATATTTGGGGCAAGTCAGGATTCGCCGAAAACGTTAACATTTGCAAGGAATTTTGGGCCAATTGGTCATGCAGGGTCTGAAGACGATAAGGAATTATGCCTGAAGTAAGTATGCACCACAGTAATAGGTGATCAAGAACAAGCCTGTTAGTTTTAAGGGCGATTACCAACAGAGAAACACGTCACCGCCAGGAGATGACGTCACTACTAACGCCCTTAAAACTAACACGCCAAGGATAACGAAGTGCCTATTACAAAGATGGATCGTCCTTTTGAATCGTCGGCCAGCCTGTCTGAGGCACTTCCTCTGTTCACTGTGATTGTCTCACTACATATGATTATGAGAGATGCGAAATCACTTTCTCACACAACAATAATTCTTCTTCAGTATATTTACTACTACGTTATCGAAACATTGGCTGAAAACTATGATTCTAGATACTGTGGTTGCTGAGAAAAAGGAACATACATACAAAACAGCATGTTTTGAAATAGTCCCATTCAAAATTGAAAATCTGTATTATTTCAAAAGTACAATGAGATAAGAGCAATTTGACGGACCCGTTCAATAGCCATCACCCGGATTACTCATCACTAGAGGCCGGATTTTGAGGCGCTAAAAAGTGTGTTTTAGGTGCCAAAAACAGGCAGGTAAAGCGCCAAAAACAGGCAGGTAAAGCACCGTTTTAGGCCTTCAAAATAATACATATAGGCACAATGAATTTATTCAAAAATTTGAAATATTTTAAAACAAAGACGTTGGTGATTTGTATTTGCGACAAGAAGCAAAATATTAATATTGTTTAGGATAGCATAAAGGCACCAACAATAGAACATAGGCATGGGTTTCCTGCGCAATTCGCAGATAACAGTTTTTTGTTTTATTGTCTAGCATTGTTAGTCAATTGTCCACCGTCCAATCAACACTTTCCGGAGGCTCTTTCGTTTCGTCATGGCTGGGAAGGGCAGCACAGAAGCAAATAACCAGATCACTGATACCAGTATATATATATATATTGTAGGCATCTATTATGCGCTTCATCCTCATCTGAACAGCAGTCAATCATCATCATATGTTCTGGCTGACAATCATCATCTGCTTGGCACGAGGGCTTCTTTGTCGGGTCCGTTGCGCTTGTTCGTTCCCGAGTTCACGGCCAATAAACCTCGCTACAACCGAGTCGTCATACGTGGTGGAGGTGGATTGACGTTCCCAGTACCTCTACTTACAACGCCTACTCGCTGGAGCTCCGTTCAGGCCGCCGCTTGGACCCTCAGTCCGCCAACATGTCTCAGAGTGAGTGGGTGGATGCCCTTTCGGCCCCCGTCTCTGCGCCGCAAGCCGTCACTGCGCCGCAAGCCCCTCCTCTTTACATCGTAAACCACCAGCGTGACCCTCCGATCTTCGCTGGTCTCTGCGGCGAAGATGTGGAGGACTGGCTCGATAACTACGAGCGGGTAAGCGCAACTAATCACTGGGACGACTCTAACAAGCTCCGCCAAGTATCGCTTTATCTCACGGGCGTTGCCAAGATATGGTTCTTGAACCATGAGATCGACCTCACCGACTGGCCTGCCTTCAAGCAGCAGCTTCGCCAAGTATTCGGCACGCCAGCCGTTCGATCCGCTCTAGCGAGGAGGGCCCTAGATACTCGCCAACAACATCCCGGCGAGTCATACACATCTTATATCGAGGATGTCCTTGCGCTTTGCCGGCGCGTCAATCCTTCGATGTCCGAGTCGGACAAACTGCGCCACATCCTGAAGGGCATCGGAAGCATTGCCTACAATGCCCTTGTTGCCCAGAATCCCTCTACTGTCACGGACGTCGTCTCTACGTGTCAGCGTCTCGACGAACTTGATTCTGTTCGCCTTCAGTCGGGCAATAGTGAACACCGTACCGCAGACCGGGACCTGCGTGACATGATACGGGAGATCATACGAGAAGAACTTCAATCAATGGGCATCTCGCAACCTTCTCCATCTGTCACACAGCCTTCAAGCATGGCCCTCCGTGACATCGTAAGGGAGGAACTAACATCATTCACCGGTCCAGCCTACGTCCAGCCACCTCCGTCTAGCCCTCCAACGTACGCGCAAGTTGCGGCCGCGCCTCCTCGCAACGTAAACTCTACTTCACCGCTGCCATCATTCACGCCGGTTGCTGCTGCACCACCGGTCCACTTCCGGCCAATCCCACCCGACCCTCCGTCAGTCCACTTGAGTGCGCTATCTCCCGGTGTGCCGAACGACCTCTACTACCCGCCTTGGCGCCCGTCTCGCCCAACATGCTTTTACTGTGGATATCGTGGACATATATCGCGCTTCTGCCGCAAGCGCCAGCAGGACGAGCGTCGCGGGTACGACATGCGCGAACGGGACTTTTCCAGAGGGGATTCTTACGCTCGGCGTTATTCATCTGGACAGCAGCGGTCTCCATCTCCGCCCGC